TCTCAAAAAAAAAAAAAAAAAAAAAAAAAAAAAAACACAAAAAAAAAAAAAAAAAAAAAAAAAAAAAAAAAAAAGAATAGTCAGTGGTGGGAGAAGAGTAGTGGCTGGAACATCCAGACCAACACTCAGGGTTAGTTGAAACAAATTCCTCACTGGACAATGACATGAGGTCATTTAAGAAAGACAAGCAGGTCAGGTGCAGTGGCTCACGCCTCTAATTCCAGTGCTTTGGGTGTCCGAGGTAGGAGGACTGCTTTAGGCCAGGAGTCTGAGACCAGCCTGGGCAACACAGCAAGACCCGTTTCTACAAAAAATGAAGAAAACCTAGCCAGGCAAGGTGGTGTGTGCTTGCAGTCCTGGCTACTTGGGAGGCCAAGGTGGGAGGATTGCTTGAGCCCAGGAGTACAAGACTGCGATAAGCTAAAATCACACCACTGTACTCCAGGCTGGGCAACAGGGTGAGGGTAAGACCATGTCACTATTTTTTAAAACAGTAAATGAAAAAAAAAAAAAAAAAAGAAAAGAAAAGGCAGGGGGCAGGGGTTAAGAATTTGAGTGACAGCCTGGGCAACACTGTGAGACCGTCTCCACCAAAAACAATAACAAAAGATAGCTGGGCATGGTGGTGTGTGCCCATGGTCCTAGCTACTTAGGTGGCTGAGGTGGGAGGATCGTTTGAGCCCAGGAGTTTGAGGCTGCAGTGAGCTATGACTGCACCCCGGCCTGGGCGACAGAGGTGGACCCTACTTCAACAAACAAACAAACAAACAAACAAACAGACATTCTGTAGGGCAGAGCAGGACACACAGGCTTCAACGCTGTAACTTCAGTACCTTTTCTACTACTACAGTTCAGTGGTCTGGCATATTTACCACAAACGCGGGGGAAGAAGGGCAAGAGGAATTACAGTATCAGCACTGTGGAGGTTTTGGAAATGAGGTGGACCCTAATGGCTACGCTAAGGTGACCTGGAAAGAAGGCAGCACTTAATATAAAGCACAGGGCAAGCCCCTAAGACACCCGAGGAAGACCCTGTCCATAGCAGGGGCATCGTTTCTCAAAGGAAAAAGGAGAGAAAAGCCGGCACGTACCGCGGCCTGCTGTCGGACGGAGACGGCCTGCTCTGCTGCAGCGCTGTATGCTTCCTTTGCTTGTTCCCGCGCAGCTGCAAGGGAGAGAACTGTCTCTGGAGTTGCTGAATCCAGCAACCAGCCTCCTCCATCTCCATCCTCCTCCAACTCGGCCTAGCCACAGGGCTTGTCACAGCTGATCTCCCCTCCCTCTCAGCTCCCTGGTCTCCCAACCTCTACAGGACAGGCTGCCTGGGACTTAGGCTGCCTGGGACTCAGGCTGCAGTGCTCTGCCCACCTTCACCTACATGTGAGCTGATCTTCCCCAGCCCTGCCTGCTCCTCTCCTGTGAACCCGAACGCTCAGTGGCCTGTGGACCTGAGGGTGTTTAACAGGATCGTCACCATCATGGACAAGCCCACTCAAACCAGCTACTTTGGCTGCCAGCCACTCCAGCTTTCCAGCTGCTCAGGACAAAGCCGTCATCCAAGGCTCACTCCTTTCTCTTACATGTCACATCCACCTCATCTTCAAATGCTGTCAGCTTTGCTACAGGCTAGATCCAGGCTCTGACGGCTTCTCACCACATCCCCTGCTCCCATGCTGGTCTCCAAGCCACCATCCCCTGTCACCTGGGTCACTGTCGCATCGCCTATCCCTTCCCCGGCTCTCGTCCTTTCTTCTCTAGTCTACTCTCAACATAGCAGCCAGAGGGCCACAGCCCTCTCCTGGCTTCTGAACTCGGAGTGAAAGCCAGCGTCATCCTGTGGGCCCCTGCTGGCTCCTTCCCCATCTTCCTGCTCTTCTCCTGTTCTGCTCCTGTGGGCCCACTTGCTGCTGCTGAGCATGCCCAGTGAACTACCCCAGGGCCCCTGGGCTTGCTGTGCTGTGGCTCCAGAATGCTCTTCGCTAGGCTGCTCAGGTGTCTTCAATGTCACATTCATTAGACTGCCTTCTCCAGCCACTGTCAGGACATAGCTACAGCACCCCCAGCACTTCCCACAGTCAATATACACAGCACCTGCTGCCATCTGATGAGAGGGACACTGAGTACCCACCATCCCTCAGCAGAAGGGAAGCCCAACAGGGCAGGGCTGTGCCGATTTCACTTGTGGCCGGATCTGGCACTTAGCTGAAATAGCTGATGTCAACAGCCGTCCCTTAGCAGCCGACTGAGTGACAGGGAAGTGAACGCTACCTGTTTGCTCAGGTGCCTTCTTCTTGTCAGTTTCCTTAGGCTCTTTTTGCGCTTGTATCTGAGCCAGCTTCCAACGGTTGCTGATCTATAATGAAAGCAAATATAACCAAAAAAATCCTCCGAAGTCAGCCACCTAAGTCTTACTTTTCACGAGGTGATGATGTAGGGCGGGTTAACCTAAGTACACATTTCTTTCTTTTTTTTTTTTGAGACGAAGTTTCGCTCTTTTTGCCCAGGCTGGAGTGCAATGGCAAAATCTCGGCTCACTGCAACCTCT